TACTACAGTGGAAGAAACAAATACAGAGCCCCACAACTGAACAAGGTGCAGAGTGAGAGCCCTTGAAACAGTCATAAATGAGGTGTCTCCATTAAATCTCTCCCTTAAGGGCTCAGGGAACTCTGTAAAGGGGGCAGAAATATTCTAACAGTCAGTGGAAACAGACACCAAGGAAACAAGGTCTTCTGCAATAAGATAAAAAAGGTAGATTACTGAAACTACTTTTAAAAACCAACTATTAGTTTTAAGTGTTTTAGATTGGTTTAGAGTTCTGTATACTGTATACAAATTTTGTATATTGATACAAATTTGAGACTAATTTTGTTAATACATACTGTACATACATTTCCAATCTGGTATACCTACACAGCTTACTTAACAATGTAACACAAATATCTAGTCACTGAAAACTATTATTTCCAACTGTTTAGGATAATCAGGTAATGCAGGTTAGTAATTAGTCACCTATTATAATCAAACTTGTAGTCACATTAGGTATGTTTTTCAAGGTCAAACAAAGATATATTTTAGCTACATAGGCCATCTTCAAACACTTCAGAGATCTACAGAATGTGGCATTCAAGATGTTTTAACAATGAGACATGTCTATGTTTGCCAGCAGCAATCTACTTTTAGAAAATAATGGGCATGCATCAAAGAAACTCCACATGGAGCTTACTTTGTGACAAAAGTAAGTCACTGGGCAAGAAAATGCCCCTTCCTCGACTGCTGACAGTATGCTGTCCTAATTAGGACACAAAAGAAAGTAATTACTAAACTTTGTCAAGACAAGGAGGGACAGCCCTTCATAATGTCCTGCTTCACAGAAAGATCTGTTGGATATCTGTTGGAAAGGCCAAAGATGTCCCAAAGTTCCAGAACTTTGGGTGACTGTCCAGGCAGCCAGCTGTTTCTGTCATTACTCAATTTTTGGGAAGTCTCTTGCTTGCTTACTTTCTGTTTACTTAGTTAATATTATTTCCTTCTTGGATCTCTGAGGGAGCTGAAGACTAGATAGTTATAATTTTCCTTGCTTACCAGACATAGAAAGCAAGATATGATAGAAAGTAAAGTTGGACTCACAAAGATAAAATAGATGTGAAGTATTTTCTCTGAATTTGTCAAATGAAAATGAACTATACATTGCTGATGTATTTACTGCCTATATATACTGTATATAATTAATGTACTTACTGTATATAGCTTTTCTTATATTAGTTATAGCCTTCTTTTTTATTTTAGACAAAAAAAAGAGTAGTGTAGTGGTATTTTGTATGTATTTTAATAAATAAAACTTGCCTGAATATCAGAGAGAAAAACAAACCCACTGGTCAGACCAGGCAGTGGTAACACAAACTCTTAATCCCAGCAGCCACACTAGTTAGCTATTAAGGACAAGTGGTAGTGGTGCACGCCTTTCATCCCAGCCCTAGAGATTCTTGCAGTCAGTATTATCATTTTGGACTGAGGTAGAAATAAGAGTCAATGGTTGTTTTGCTTTTATGATCTTCAGGTTGAACCCCAACTTCTCTGAGTTTTTATTAACTGTGCTTTACTTCTAGACAAACAACTGACACATGAATTCAGAGACTGTGATGCTATGCACAGGGCCTGCACACGTATAAGCCAGTGTTGAGAGAAGTAGACACAATTCTCCAGCGGAGTCTCACTGGGTATACAAACGATATTTAAAGGTAGGCATGTCCAGCAGGAGATGGGCAACACAAAATGAAGCTAATGATATTTTTGGAGTATTCTCCCCCCCCCCTTTTTTTCTCATAATGCTTTGCCTGGGCATTTTTAACTTTATATGTCTTTTGTTTATAGATTATGAACATCATTTTCTTCTCGGCTAAGCTTACACAGGTTAAGTATCATAGAACTGGCCAATTATGAAGAAAATTTCAAACAGTCAATCTGTTTTGTTTCAAGTCTATCTTGGCATAGGCATCAAAAATACACTAAAATTCAGTTAATTAAAATAAATTCTTTAATATAATGCCTACATTATAATAAGACACTAAGTATAGAAATATATCAGAAAATGAAATTATTATGCAGTGTTAAATCAATGCATGAAACTCATGCTTTAAGTTATATATTTCTATCCTATTGTTTGTAATTCTAAAGTTTCATTTCTTCAATGTAATACCAAGTAGCACAACTTATAATCAGTTACCTATTTAACAGTGACAGCAATAATCCTAAAAACCTTTGTTAAGGAGAGACAGATACTAAAACTGGCTATTTTGCCATAAAATACTAAATATGCGCTTTCTTAAAGTTTCATTCATTTATCTGTTACCACCTTTGTTTCTGAACAGAAACCATTCTTATCAACTAGTTATTTGTGTGGGAAATGAGAGAGTATGGGTATGCACATGCCACAGTTCTCATGTGAAAGTCAAAGGACAACTTCAGAAGCTAGCTCTCTCCCACCACTGTAGAACCTGGGGATCAAACTCAAGTAAGGCTTAGCCAATCAACAATTACACAAATGACTTTCTCTGTGTAACAAACAGTCTGGCTGTCCTGGAAACTCACTTTGTAGATCAGGGTGTCTGGCCTCAAACTCAGAGGCATGCCTCTGCCTCCCTTGGGATTAATGGAGTGCACCAACACCATCAAGCACAACTCTACAAATAAAAGAGTTAGTGCTCTAAGGTCTTACCATTAGTGTTTTGTTAAACTAAAGAAAGAGAGGTCAAAATACTCTTAAATTTATAATAAGCTTCTAAACCAATGCTCTTTTTCAAGATAATATAAATCTTATATAATATCTATATATAAATATATACACTTTTATAATAAAAGTAAATTATAGAAAGAATGGCTAAAAAAATCTAGTGAGTAAATAGGAGTGTGAACTCTTATACAATTTTCTTTTTGCTACAATAACAAACACATGTACTCAGGGTAATAGGAGTTCTGCATTGTTGGATACATAGCATTTCAATAATTTTCTGTTCATAAATCTAATAACAGTGTTCACAAAAAGACCCCTTTCATTGCTTTTTAAAACCACATAATTAATAAGAAAAAGGAAGAAGACATGATTTAACAGTGTGCAAAGAACTGCATTTACAAACAATTTGTCAGTTCAGGTTCCTTATTACATCTATAAGCACAGTTCATATAAAATTTCTTCCTTGCAAGGAATACAAAGTTAGGACACTGAAGAACACACTACTGGGATATAAAGAATGACAGATCCCAAGTTCATTTAGATAAATAAAATGAATTTTATTTATCTAATAAAATAAATAATAATAAAATAAAATAAATAAAAAATAAAATAAATTTCATTTAGATAAATAAAATTATTTATCTAATAAATAATTCATTTATTTATTAATAAATTAATAAATAATTAATGAATTATTAGATTCATTGACAACTATTTTCCTAGCTTTTTAAAGAGCACTCAAGGGGAGCTGGAGAGATGGCTCAGAGGTTAAGAGCACTGACTGCTCTCCCAGAGGTCTTGAGTTCAATTCCCAGCAACCACATGGTGGCTCACCGCCATCTATAATGAGATCTGGTGTCCTCTTCTGGCATGCAAGCATACATGGAAGGAATGCTGCATAATAGATAGATAGATAGATAGATAGATAGATAGATAGATAGATAGATA